CTCACCCCTCTCTCACCCCCCCTTATTTCTTTCTCACCCCTCTCTCACCCTTCTTTCTCCCCCTCCCCCCTACCTCCCTGTAGCGTGGCCGATCCCAGTATAGCCGGCGGGTACAGGGAGCTTTTGTTTCCTGTACCCGGCCGGACTAACAGGAAGTGCACACTGAGTGTGCACTTCCTGTTAGTCCGGCGGGTACAGGAGACAGCTGCTCTCTGTACCCGTCGGACCATGCTGCAGTGAGGGAGCTGACAGGAGCGCTCCCTCCTGTCAGCCTCTCCTCAGGCTGCGCCCGGGCTGTGCGGTCCGCCCTCATGGACGCACCGCCCGGGCAAAGCTGCAGCCGCCTGAGGCTCAATACAGAGCGCTCGGGCGGCTGCAGCATGGGGGGGGCTGGCCATGGCACCCCCCACCCGGCTGGCACCCGGGGCGGACCGCCCCCCCCGCCCCCCCCTTAGTACGCCACTGCTTGAGCTTCTGGCAAAGATGTCTCTAATGAGACAGAGAGGGGTATTTTTTATATACACCCCTATATACTTATTAACCCTTAATAGGGAACACATGGGATGGGCGGCAGCATTGCAACATAGCTGTGTGATACAAAATAAATACAAATACAAAAAGACAAGTCCTGCGCCCACTCCCATCACTACTGGGACAGCAGTGTAGGACCTGCTTTAGGGGGGTCTGCCTTGACGTTGGCAGGCGGGCATTCCCTCCAATGGCCATTGGAGCAACTAAATGACTTCCATTTGTCTAAATATACATAGGGATTGGGGAGAGAGCGCAATCCCTATGTATATTTCCTATGGGAAAGCATTGGATTGGCTGAGATCATCAAGATTGATTATCCCAACCATGGAGGCAGGGCCAGATACGCCGAGACGTGGGAGTAAAATCACTGCACTGTACTGTTGATTTAAATCACTTTGTTTATACAGCCCTAATCACACCTGACTCCCTGTAATAACAGTAACATTATTAGAGTAACATAGTAATATTGTGACATTAATATCGGAGTAATTTAATAACATAGTGCTGATGTGATATATTAACAGTAATATTGTGACTTATTTAGATTGTATTTAGGCCAAACATTTTTTAATATTTAGCAGTTCACACATTGTCATCTTCCCCGATCCCCCATTAAAAGTTCTGAAAATCCCCTTTCTCCATATATTATAACGTACGAGGTTCAGAAAACACGGCCTCTCTTAAATGTGTAATAGGATCTGGGAGACTTTGCTTGTTCAATATTTGCATTCCACATTCATTTACCACAAGGAATAAATACAGTTTGCAAGACTTTATTCTGTTTGAGCGATCTCTTATCAACTTTGACACATTACATGGCATTTCAAGGAATTTAAATAGACAGAACTGGGGAAACTGACAAAATGTTAATAATATATTTTAAATCATGAAAATGTCAATGATATTGTTCATCTATCTAACCCCATGTCAATCCCTCACACAAAACAAAGATAGAGTAGAAATTTCACTTTTTAGCACAATCTAAAAGCAAACAAAGTTTTAAAAAATATTTTTTATTATTTTAACTAACAAAGTTTGCAAGCCTGACAAAGTTTGCAAATTAGCTCTGGTTTGCAGTGCCACACTCTGCGTACTGCGTGCAAATACTGCATTTCTTAGTTAGATGCCCAAGTGTGCATGGATGTGCCCGAGGCATCACAGGAGAGCAAAACTGCCACCAGGGCCCGGGTCAGCTTGCTGGTTTGGGGCCCATGGTTTATCGTTATATAGGGGTGGAGAATGGGATCAGACAAATTCACGGTTCAGGTGTCCCTGTCTAATCTCTGGGCTCTAGGCAGGCGCCTATAGTGCCCTCATTGTTAATCTTGCTCTGCGGTAAGCAATACAATATAATTTATTGGGACAGGAACAAGGGACAGGCACGTGCCAGAAAATTACAGTTACTCTTTAACTTCTATAGAGAAACTCTTTACAATATGTTAGTGCGAACATTAAATCCACAGACATTGAGATATCTACTAACATGTATAAAGCGACATTTTAACATATTGATTTATGTGTGATATGAACGTCACAGCATTGTGATAATATTTTTCTAAACTGAAGAATTTCGACAATTTGGCGATGTATTCCAGCAACATCTTGTAAGACGTTATCACATCTCGCTGTTTAGTAAATAACTTCAGACAGAGGTTTATCCCTACCATGTCTCCAATATTAAATATAATTCAGAAAATCCCAGTTATTTGGGGGATTATTCCCAGAATTGGGGAGAGCAGACGAAGGAATGCAAGTTTTAAGACAAGTTAGCTGGAAACCATCAGTACGCTGGCAGTTTATTACATCATGTCGTCATAGATTGTAAGCTGGTCTGGGCACCTTCACCTCTAACTATCACCTTTCTATAATTGTAATGTGCTGCGGAATATGTTGGAGCTATATAAATGCAAACAGTAATAATACATTGTTTATTCTTCATGGGGGAGTGTTTGAAGAAGAAAGTATTATTAGTTGAAGATTCTTGACAAATATCTTTTTAGTTTCAACTCAGCTTAGAAATGCCCTTTATAATATCCTAAACAATCCAATATTGTTAAGCTTTAAAAAAAATGTTTAACCATTCTATACCATTGTAATGCCAGCGAAAGGATAAAAACGTCATGAACAGCCCGCTGGCAAAAAATAACGCTAATGCACTCGCTTTATATTAGTAATAATCCTTACCTTGGTGTAAAACGAGGCCAGTTATAACAATAAGCAGGGATTTTAGGAGCATGTTCTGATCCTCCATGAACGCGCTGTGCTTCGATCAGGGGTGTAGGTGGACTGAATGGTAGCACTCGTTATCTTTCGTGAACATACAAACAGCTTTGTCCTAGTTCTGAGTCACTCTGATACGGAGAAACCTGACACGGTACGGGCTGGGCCCACTGACATTCTCCAAAAACTGCCTCTTTCAGCCGGTCCTCTACACGCCGACGCTCTCCGTGATTCCGTTTAACCTATGCGGGGAATTTCCACACTTTGTGGAATGTCGGAAAGATACCAATCAGGGCAATTCACCGGGAATTAGTGGGAATGAATAGCAAATCCTCAGCCAAACCAACCAAATCTGACAAATAAAAGAATTGGGGATTTTAAAACCTCAGGATTCCCCCTTCCCCTGTTTAGGGACTAAATCTACTTGTTTCAAAATGAATGTTTTTCAGATATCAATCAAATTGTGACAAACTGAGTCTGTTGGAGAGAAATCGCTCTATCCAACATTTAGGAAACATCACGAAAGTGACTTTCCTGGAGCAGTGACCATTCTTTACACTGAATGAAAGGCCTGGAGTAAGTTACACCCTCACTCAACTGAAAACTGTATGACAGAAATTGGGCTAGCACAGACTGGGTATATATTCCATTAGTTAATGAGCACTTCGGCTACTAGTCATCATATCCTGGCCACCCACAAACAACCCAGTCTGCAGGTTGTGATGGCATTACTGCTCCCACTGGAAGGCTATTCCAGGTATCTACTACCCTTTCTATAGCATGTTTACTTCTCCCATTGGAAGGCTATTCCAAGTATCTACTACCCTTTCTATATCACTGTTACTGCTCCCACTGGAAGGCTATTCCAGGTATCTACTACCCTTTCTATAGCATGTTTACTTCTCCCATTGGAAGGCTATTCCAAGTATCTACTACCCTTTCTATATCACTGCTACTGCTTCCACTGAAAGGCTATTCTAGGTATCTACTACCCTTTCTATATCACTGTTACTGCTTCCACTGGAAGGCTATTCTAGGTATCTACTACCCTCTCTATATCACTGTTACTGCTCCCACTGGAAGGCTATTCCAGCTATCTACTGCCCTTTCTATATCACTGTTACTGCTCCCACTGGAAGTCCATTCCAGGTATCTACTGCCCTTTATATATCACTGTTACTGTTCCCACTGGAAGATTGTTCCAGGTATCTACTACCCTTTCTATATCACAGTTACTGCTCCCACTGGAAGGCTATTCCAGGTATCTACTACCCTTTCTATATCACTGTTACTGCTTCCACTGGAAGGCTATTTCAGGTATCTACTACCCTTTCTATATCACTGTTACTGCTCCCACTGGAAGGCTATTCCAGGTATCTACTACCCTTTCTATATCACTGTTACTGCTCCCACTGGAAGGCTATTCCAGGTATCTACTACCCTTTCTATATCACTGTTACTGTTCCCACTGGAAGGCTATTCCAGGTATCTAGTACATTGTACAGTTTTCAGTAAACTACCGAAAAGGCAGTAGACATGTATAATTCATTTAATTCCAAATCAAATTCTGTCTGAATTCACAGAAATTAAAACCAAAACAAATGTATCTGTAATGAATCGAATGCTAAGGATAGGAAATTACAGAGTTATCTACTAAACAGCTGAACGTTCAACATTAAGAAAAGGACTTTCCTTGCTTTCGCTCTCTCAGCAGTTTAGCAGATAACTCCCTAAGTTGGTGCTTTGTAACATTGGGAATCCAATCTTTATTCATTACCCACAGGGGATAAATGGTGCCCAAACCGTTATTCTCTGAATTTCGATTGAACCAGAAAATGAACGAAATGTAACAGAATAAAACAATTCCTCCACTCGTCCCTACAAGGCACATGTTGAGATTTCCTCCTGTGTGTCCAGATGTGGCCCGTTCGTGTTCCGGGGCCCCTGGGCTCTGCGTACTTGTGATAGCTCCATGTTAATGTATTCATCCCGCATTGCGCACCGATGGTCTGCATTTCCTGTGAGATTGCTAGTTTGCTTTAATTTATGCGAAGGTTACTGTAAATAAAGCATTGTGGGCCATGTTAATGAACGTATGATTAATTGCTGGGTAACGACAATGAGTTGCTGAAACAATGACAGCAAAATCACAAGTTATTGGAGATTAACAAACATCGCAAATCCCTTCTTCCCACAAAGAAACGCGTATCCTGTAATTTATCTTACAATCACGGCTGACTGATGGCTTTATTTTTACTTTTACCTATAGTATTTATTTATTCTGAAACCTCCAGTTTTGGATTAGCCTTATTGTCTCCCCTCTTAGCGCCTTCATTGTTTAACTCTTTCAGTGCCATGCGGGTCACGCTTTACAATGTGCTGGTGATATCTCTGGCACTCAAAGGGTAAAAGGGACCCAGCAGGCAGGAACTGAACCAATGGTTATTACACTGGATTAGAAAAAAAACAAATTAGTAAATTTGAAAAAATAAATAAAAAAGAAAAATTAGACATCTTTAAATTTCCTGAATTTACACTGACAGACCTCTCCCAGGGAGGAAAAGGTCCACTAATCAGGAATCCCTCATTCTGGCCTTTGGGGCCCTTCATATTCCATAATGCCCTGTCCACATTTAATAATAATTAAAGGAACAGTAACAGTCACATCTTTCCTCCTGAGAATTGTTTAATAATTAACATTGTGTAACAGCTGAATCTCAATTATTTAAATAGTTACTAAGAGAAGAAGGTGAGGCCCAACAGCAAAATCTGATAACGGAGAAATGTGAGAACAAATACTGCACTTACTGTAAATAATGGTATCAAGTATCACTGAAACCGAAATATCAGGGGTAATAAATATAGAAATATAGTAACAGTCAGCTGCACAGAATGGGCCCAACCTGGACCCAGTGTCTGTCATTATTGTTATTATACCAATACATATCTGACTGTATCCATCTTCATGTAAGATACAGAAAATATACATATATTTATATATACACACAAATGAAATCACACAACCTGCTATGATAAATATAATAAAACAATCTAAATAGAAAAAGCAAAAATAGTGTAATATGGCAGCCAGGAACAAAACGTGCAACAACCATCTCTCATGATCAAAGATCAAATATGATACCCAAATACCTACAATGGAAGAATGCATTTTTGTAGACAAGGGAGCTTCCATTAATAGACAGGCGCCTATTATTATTATTATTTTATTTATATAGCGCCATCACATTCCGTAGCGCTGTACGATGGATAGAGCCTACACAGCTTGGTGGTAAACCCAGCACGGACTCTATTATCCCAATATTAACAATGGAAGCTTGGATGAATACATGAAAATACAGGGATTGAACACGCGATCTGTACAGATCATTTCTTTTTTGCCCTAAGTTTCTGTAACAGGCGTGCATTCCATGTAACATTTCAAATTGTCTTATTTAACTTTTTTTTTAAGAACGAGCGGTATGTAGTGATCGGATTGTGGAATATCCTTATTAATGGGAAACATGTTTGTACAATACATTGTTTTAAAATTAGTAAGATTAACTTTTCACTAAGTGTTCGTGTCAGTGCTGATCATCGTTAATGAATTAAATCCCAGGGGGAACATTTTGCTCTAAAACCCTTTTCTTATAATTGCAAAACTAAGGCAATAACCTCCTCCATTAAAAGACCATTATTTCTGGTGGCACTTAACTAATTGAGATCTCTCTCGCGTTACGCACCCCAAAGGGTTAATCTCCAGTGGCAGTTGCCATGGCGATAAGCCCTGCTAAACGTGCATGAATATATGTGGTTTTTCCCCACTCTACTCTATCGAGCGGGATCTGCCTTTACTACAGCCCACGGTTCCTCCTCCGCTCCCACATTCCCTCTTTTAAGACATTAACCCCTGGAGCGCCACCACAATCATATCTTAAAAGAAAGATTAAGTCAGAGTGGGCAATATGTCCAGTGGAAGTGTCAGTATCTGGATCTATCGATACAAGTTACCGTTTAACAAAGATTATCTTTATATTTTATATCAGGCACAATGGATCATAATCTTAGGGACTCCCATTAGGGCCTAGCGACATTTGACTTTCTATAATCTCAGCAGGAGTTTGGGCTATTATCTGCTAATACAGGTATTTGCAAAAATATTTAGATTAAAGAAGAGGTAAATACACGGAAAGAGGAGTAAATGAGCGTGCACTCTGTTCTAGAAGAATTTACTAAATTATGTATATTGCCAGGAAGTCACAGTCAATTTTTTGATAAATTGATACATACAGTTATCATCAAAATTATTCAACCCCCCCCATTGAAAACCAAGTTTATTGTCAAAATTTACAGACTCTGCAATGAATAAATCAAACTAAAGCAACTGAAATAGCTCAACACAAAGAATGCTTCAAGTGGTTTCCTCAAATTCAACTGAAAATGTAATTTATAATCTCCTCTCCAGTCTTAAAATTACTCAACCCCCTGAATATGCATTTGCAAGACCGGTGTTGTCTCAAGCACACATAATGCAATTAATCAAGGGCTTCATTAGTTGCACCAGATGTGCTTGAGCTGGAGCATTTTAAATACCTGAACTGGGCAGGGGTTTGTTGAGTGTCACATTTAACTGAATGTTAGAAATATTGCTAAGCCAAAAGAATGGTCCACAAAGTTAATAGAAGAGATCATCGCCCTTCACAAACAAGGAACATGATACAAAAAGATAATGAAGGCACTGACTGTTCCAAAAGACACCATTAGAAGCTTTGTTCGCAAGTTCAAAGTTGAAGTAGCAGTGGTTAAACTACCTGAACGGGACAGAAAAAGGAAGCTAGCAATGACTGCAACCAGATTTCTGAGAAGGCAGGTTGTAAAAAACCTTTGAGTGACTGCAAACGACCTACAGCAAAACTTGGTGGAAACAGGCGCTGAGGTTTCAGTGAGCACAGTGAGGCGCGTACTAAACGCAAAAGGTTTCAATGCCAGAACTCCAAGACGTACACCACTACTGATCCAAAAGCACAAGGAACGTTGCCTCCACTATGCTCAAAATCATATAAATAAGCCACAGACATTTTGGGATTATGTTCAGTGGAGTGAAGAAACAAAACTGGAACTTTTTGGCCCAATGGATCAGCAGTGTGTCTGGAGGAAGAAGAATGAAGCATGCTCTGAAAAGAACACTCTGCCTACAGTTAAAGGACCACTATAGTGCAAGGAGAACATACTTGTTTTCCTGGCACTATAGTGCCCTGAGGGTGCCCCCACCCTCAGGGTCCCACTCCCGTGGTGCTGAAGGGAGAGGAAGGGGTTAA